GAGCAGAGCCCGACAGGTGGCCGGCGCCTCCCCGGGCAGCAGGCGTCTGTCCTTAAGCCCAGTGCTGGGCCGGGTGGAGACTGGATGGGGGCTCTAGTAACATCCAGGCCGCGTGGCCCGCAGTCGGCCCCTGCGCCTGGCAGCGCGATTGTTTTGATCACTTTAGAGCGGATGGAATTATCCAGGTGAGGCCGACAGCTGGGGCTCTGCAGCGGGGTGGGATCCCTAGAGCCTGCGAGAGGCAGGCGGGGGGGCGCGCCCTGACCACCCCTCCACACTGGTGGGTGAGGGCGGGGGCCACGGGTTTGGCCTCTGGGGACTGTCTGTCCCCTCCAGGCCCAGGATGCCAAGGGATTTCCTTCCCTTCCTGCAGGCCAGGCCTGCAGCAGGGCAGCGAGGAAAGCAGGCCGGGGACCTACTGCTTTCTTCATAAGCCGGACCCCTTCTTAGAAAGCATTTGCCCGCACTGGGCACTGTCAGTAACAAAGGGACGCTGAGAACCTTTCACCTACCCAGGTGTGGTGGTGCACACCTGTGATCCCAGCCCTCCAGAGGTTGAGGCGGGAGGATCGCTGTGGTCATCCTGGGCTACACAGTGAGTTCAAGGCCAGCCCCCAAACACAGATGGAGAACAGGAAGCCCTCCGCCCGCACGCCGCCCACGCTCACCGATGCACACGTTCTCGTCGTCCAGCTCCGCCGAGCCGTTGCGGTAGTAGCCCAGGCGGCAGTGCTGGCAGTGTTGGCCGCGCGTGTTGTGCTTGCAGCTCACGCAGGTGACCACGTTCAGGAAGTCGATGTAGCTGCAGCGGTTGGAGTGGCCGTAGCACTCGCAGTCTGGGCCAGCGGGTCGGGAGAAACACGGCCGGTCAGCGAACACTGCGGGAAACTGAGGCACCAGGAGAGGAAGGACCCACCCGCTCCAGGACATGCAGAGAGGGAGGCAGGAACATGTCATGGGCTCGGAGGCTTCCACTGCATTTGAGAAGAGCCAGGCCTGCCAGCTTTGGGCTGGAAGGAGAACCCAGAGGCCAGGGGGCAGCACCCGCCCATGCCCGGCCTGGCACCCGGGCCAAGTGCCCACAGCCAGGGTGATCAGTAAGTGATTCATGCAGGGAAGGCAGGGTCACACGCCAGACAGAGCACAGGAGGGCTGCTGGGGCTCTGGCAGTCACCACTGCTTCCCTAGGGGTGGATGGATGGCAAATGCATGCAGGAATGCTGGGCAGGATGGAATGGGCCAGGTAGGAGCTTCCTCTGTGCTGCTCTGGAACTGGTATAGGAGGAAAGTGCCACTGCTCCTCCACTGCAGCTCCCTTCCTTATGAACCTGAGCTTTCCACGAGTTTGGATGACACCAGGGTGCTATCTCTGTGCATTTGGAGGGCATTTCCCAATGCCACCATCACATGGGTCTCCGGTCCACCCCACCCAGTTGCTCTGCCAAGAGCCCAAGGCCCGGCTCTTGGGGGTGGAAGCCACATCAAGGGGCAGTGTTGGACTCAGGGGACCCTGGAAACAGCCAGCGAGTGTGCCCAGTGTGCCCCCACGGAGGGCCTCCCGGACCTGCCCTACACCATCCCTGCGGAGACAGCAAGGAGTCCAGGAACCTGCCGAGGGTCCCCACAGCAGCGCTGGCACCCAGATGCCCCAGATTCTGTGCAGCCACAGTGCACCCTGGGCAGCGCCTCCCCAGGGAGTCAGGACAGACTATTTCCGGAGCCACTGGCCCTCCTGTGCCCGGGCTGGCTTCTGACTCATCCCCTGTCCCCAGCTTCCGTGGGACAGGAGGGCCAGCGGGCAGACTTCCTACTTGACCCAGCTACTGGGGGTGCTGTTCAGGCCAGGCCCAGGATTCTTTCCAGTGGAGACCGGGAGATGCCAGGGACGGCTGGTCCGGCCCAGGCCTCTTTCTTTCTTACCTGGGAATTCCTCCATGGGCACCACCTGAGGAGATATGGGCTTGAGCTGGAAAAGTCTGGAGGCCTTGGCAGGGGCAAGGGCAGTGGCGGAGGTGCCTGAGGCTTGGAGAGATGACAGACAAGTTATTTTGTCTGCCATGGCTCCCGGGCTGGACAGAGGCTCCCGAGGTGCCCCGTTGGCAGGGCTCCAAGGGGGTAGCTGCTCCTCTCAAGCCCTTGCAGAGCCGGCCCCGGCCCCTCTGAGACCATGGACGCATCTGACTGGATCTGACCCCCGTGACTTCGCTGGCCCCGACAGCCCCTGCGAGGCGCTAAGACGCGTCTCCTGCGACCCATCCCTGGAGTGCCACTCGCGGTGTCACCAAGCCAAGAGCGAGGGCAGCACCTACCTTCCACCGCCTGGAACTCCAGCCCAATGTATTTGGGGTGCACGCCCCACTGTTCTGAGACTGTCACTGCCTCCACTACGGTCTGGGAGTCTGTGGCATCCCATTGCGTCCACGGCAGGGAAATGATGGCCACCGCTGTCTCGGGAACCGAGAGACGGGCGTCCAGGTTGCCCGGAGCGTCTCACCCTGGCTGGGCAGCCGCTTTCCAGCAGAGGGCGCTCGAAGCCCTGGTTGCTGTTCCTAGCTGGAGCAGCGGGGACTGTGAGGTGCTGGGCGGGGCAGGGATACAGGCTGGGAACCGGCGGGCCGGGGTCAGCTCCCTTCCTTGGAGTCAGGCCGGCCTCTGCGCGTTCCCTGTGCGTGTCCTCCTGTGGCCTGGCGCTCTTGCATCCCGTTCGCCCTTGCTTCACCCGCTTCCAGTCTGTCTGTCCCCTGTGTCTGCCCTGGTGTCCTGCCCCGAAGGGAGGGGCCGGCGACATCACCCCAGATCCCCACCCCCCACCCACCCCACGTCCCCCTCGGACACCGCCGCCTCCGCTGCTGCAGGGGGGGACCTAAGCCAAGGAGCTGCTGAGGTCCTGCCTGCCCCCCACCTTCTGCCCCGGAGGACACCTGGGGCCACTGTAGATGGCCTGGTCCACTCTTGCGGGGAAGAAGAGGAGAAACCAGGTTATGTGGGGGGCGGCGTCCCCGTAGCCCCATGGGCCCTGACAGGAAGCGGCACTGTAAGGGAGCAGCTGTCTACACTGGCCGAAAGACTGGGGTGTAAACACACGACAGAGGCAGCTTCTACACTACTGCAGTGAGGGGAGCGCAAACACCGAGGCCAGACAAGAGGGGACCCTGTGCCGGGAGTCTGCATGATTGGGGCAGTCCTTCAGGGGGACCCCGCCCGGTTCCTGTTCCGTCCACCAGACCAGTCCTGTCCAGTCCCGGGTTTGCTGTCTCAGCTGCGGAGGTGGTGGGGAGCTGTGTCCTGGCCAGGACCTAGGTTATCCCCAGGAGGGACCCGCAAGGCCCCTGCCCAGCCCCTGTCCGGGACCGGGCGCCCTCCCACCTCCCTGACCCCTGCTCTGAGCTCGTTGCCCTGGGGACCCTGCAGCACTGATTTGCTCATTTCCAAGGCTAACTGGATGCCGAGAATTCAAAGGACGACCGAGGGGCCAGGGGAGCAGGCTGATGTTTTCGCTTCTTAAAGGGATTACGCAGTGAGGGCTGATGGGCAGAGACAAAGAAAATCTCCCAGCTAAAAAGTGCGGCAGACTTCCCAGCTGGGCGCCGGGAGCCTTTGGACATCAAATTGACACTAATATGCTGTTCAGAAGCTGCGGACCCCAGTGGGCAAGGGCTTAATTACAGCCTGGGTAAAAGCTGCCCCAGGGCATGCGGCTGGAGCCCACTACCGCTCCGGCTTGTGGGGGAGACCTCGCCTGGGCCCAGGGACCAGGGCCCTGCAGATCGGGCCTGCAAGGTGCAGACCTGGGGAGTTGTCTGCGAGGGAAAGGCCTCCACCTGCTTTTTCTTGGGCGCCCAGGTTCTCAAGGTGGCGGGCAGATGGAGGCCCGGGTTGTTCCTAAGAAGCAGGAAGCCAGGGTTTAAGGAGGGCTCCGCCCCCCCAGCATCCCGGGGCCCAGAGCTGTGGCAGGAGCGCCTGGCGCCCATGGCCGCAGGCTTCAGCAACAAGGAGCATTGGGCCACTCTTTTCTTTCTTAAAAAATGGCTTCTTGGAGGCGTAACTGACAAACCAGGAACCCAGCTGCTCCCTCCTGAGCCTCTGATCCCCTACCCTGAGGCGGAGGAGAGTGACAGCCTCCTTGTCCCCAAGTAGTCAGGGCGCAGCTCTGGGCCCGAGTCCCCTCTCCCCCTGGCATCATTAGGGACAGGGGGAGCATGTGCACCTGGCCTTGCACCCCAACACTCCCCTGTCTGGAGCCAGGCCCGCCCCCGCCCCCTCATGACTATTTTTGCTTCTGTCCACCCATCGCAGGCTCAGCGCAATAAAAAGCACGAGCCTCAGGAGGCTGAGAAGTACGAGCTACAGTCTGTGCTCCCGGGACCCTGCCAGTCCTCTGCCGGCCAAGAGGGGCACGGAGCCACCACGGGCTGCTCTCAGTGCCCGGGAAGGGGACTTGGTCAAGGCAGCCGCTGTCCCCTGGAGGCTGTGCAGACCCTGCTGGAGGGGTCCCTGTCCTTAGAGATGTTTCCTGTCACAGGAAGCTTAGGGTGCTGCCCTAGGAGAAAGAGCCCCTGCCGCATCTTCCCTGCAGGCAGGTGCAGGCCACGAAGTGTTACCCCTGGCACGGACAGTTCTTTCCAGGCTCGGGCATCTGCAGGGGGTGCTGCCTGGCAGGACAACCCAGGGGAAGTCCAGGTGAGACCAGAACTCTGCTCCAGCACCCACACCTCAATACCCACAGGTCAGCCTTTGGGGGACTTAGGATCAGCCAGGGTCGCAAACATGTTGCTTAGACACCTGCAGTGGCCCTGCCCTATACCCACAGCCTCTGGTACCCCGCAAGTGCCCCGTGGCTGTTTCCTCCCAAGCCTCCCTTCTACCTTTGCCTGCTCAGCTAACCCCACATCCTCCCTGCCAGGTGGGGCCCGAGCCAGCTCCCCCTCAGGAGACGGCACCATCTCTGTCTGAACGTCCGCGGGGTCTGGCCACTGCCGTGCAGCGGCACCCTTCTCCCAGGGCCCCTGTCCCTGTGCCACATTGGTCTCAGGCCTCTTCCAAGGAAGGCGTTGGAGGGGCAGGCGGAAGGACAGATGCCAGGAGCCCCCCTTAGGCTGTTTCTGGAAGCTCTAGGGTGCTAGCTATCTAAGACGTGTGCCCTGCAGCACTGCAAGGGTGGGGGGCACTGGCTACAAGCAGCAGGGACAGCAGGGGTCACTGGCTGGACCCTGGCACCCACCTGTGGGCTGTGGGGCGCTGAGGGCTGTGGGGGCCTGTGCAGTAGACTTGGAGGGGGTGGAAGTTGTGGGCCGCCCACTGGTGGCTACAGTGGCCACCAGGGCTTTGGGGGCGGGGCCCTCCTGGGCCCTGCCACTGCCTGGTGAGACAGGAAGTAGGGGGAGGGTTGGTGGGACTGGCACCTCTGAGAAGCCACACGCTGTGGCCACAGCTGTGCAGACCACATGGGGCAGGGCTCGCCTTCCTTCAGGTGCCCTCTCTGGCCGTTGGCAGGAGGGTCAGTCAGGGAGGGCTGTCCCCATCCAGAGCCCCAGTGGAGGGTGACAGTGTGTCCCAGAAACACCTCTAGCTGGGCTCTGCCACCAGCTGGCCGTGTGACCTTGGTAACCTCTCCAGCTGAGTCTCAGAGCGGAGGGCTCCAGGGGTTAAATGAGATGCTATGATGTCCTGTCCACACCAGCCCCTGACCTTCCTCCTCTTGAGTTCTTGGGCTCCTGCTCGGGTCTCCCCAGGATGAGGTGGACACAGCACAGGGACAGGGGCTGGTGTCGCCCAGCCCCACAGTGGGCCAGGCAGATCAGGAGGAGCGGGGAGCCCACGCAAGACTGAGGCGCCACCCAAGGCCCGAGGCTTTCCAAGCAGCACTAACGAAGCTCCAGGGAGGGGCGAGGAGAGAAGCAGGCGGGGTGTGATTAGCGGAGGAACAAGGCCAGGCCCAGGAACAGCAAAGCCCCTCCTCTGCCCTGCTCTCCCCAGCCGTGCAGGAGCCCGTGCAGCCGTACTTACTGCCGAAGGCAGAGCCCGCAGCTGCACCTGCCGGAGACAAGAGGGTCACGGTTCAGACCAGGGCCGGGCAGCTCCCTGCAGAGGTCGTGGCGGGGTGGGTCGGGGAGCCCTTGGGGGTGGGAAGGAGACCCCACGAGCACTACATGGGACGTTGGTGACCGTCCCGCTTCTCACTGCTGGCCTGCGCGGAGGGGCTGCTGTTGGCCCACTTTTTGGACGGAGAAACTGAGTCTTGGGTCTGTGACTTCCCCACAGGACGTGGTGACAAGCACCAAACACCCCTCTCCTGTTTAACTTCAGACCTTTGGGCCCTCCAGTCAGAGAAATAGTGTGTCTTCTTGTGACGTATGGACTGGAGCCTTCTGTTTTCCAAGGGCCCCGTTCTGTAGATGCTGGGGGATGGGAGAGCCAGCAGGAAGGCAGGGCCAGGCCCAGACCGGGGCTGTGTCTATGCCTTGGAAACAGGAGGCCAGGGCTCTGGTCTAAGCAGAGGCCTTGTGGCCCCAGGTGAGAATGGGCACAGTGGAGGAGGAAGGACCTGCCGTCCAGCATCCTTGCCATGGGGGCACCGCGGTGGCTGCAGCAGGAGGGTTATCTGGGTAAGCAGGGGCTGTGGCAACTGGGTGGGCCTGGGAGGCCCTCGCTCAGCACTTTTCCCCTTCCCAGCACGCTGAGCAGGGCAGTGTCATGAGGGGGATTCCTGGGGCGCGAGGCTGCAGGCGAGGACGGAGAGACAGGGCAGCAGCTAGGCCGGGCCCTGAGGCTGGGGTGTCAGAGGGGCGGAGACCTAGAAGGGACCTTGTACATCGGGGTGGGCTGAGACTGAGGGGTCCACTCCAAGGCCCCCAGGGTTCTGAAGCCGGGAAGGGAAGGAGCCCCGTGTTCGCTGATGTGAGATCCGGCGGGGAACAAGGCATGAGCAGGTGGCACTGGGAGGGAAGAAGCTGGGTGAATGTGGGTGGGGTTAGGGGCGGTGGCAGCGGATCGGAGACCCTGCGGGCTGTTTGGGTGGAAGAGAAGAGCCAGAGGGGCTGGAAAGGGGCTGTGGGACAGAGGGAGGCAAGAGCAGCAGACAGGGAGTGACAGCAGCTGAAAGAAAGGTTCGGGACACAGACGAGCACACAGACCTGGAGGGGGACCAGGCAGGAGGTGGCTACCGGCACCCCAAGCTGTCTTGGCGCCTTTGAAGGCCCCGAGTGCTGTGAGGTGCCTGGCAAGTCGCCCCTTCAAAGGCCTGTCACCACGCCGGCCCCGGCCCACTCACGACGGGCCTGTCACGGCCCTGCCGCAGCACTGCCCTTTGATCAGCCTGAAGCCGTGTAACTCTTTCACGGGAGGGTGGGATGGCAGTGGGCATCCAGAAGTGGAGGCTGAAGCCCAGCACCCGCTTCTGCGTCAGGTCCAGGAAGTGGCCTGGAGCCCAGTGCCTGCTGCCGCTCAGTGCAGACCTGGGAGGACCCTGAGGTTGGCTGGGCCTCAATTTACCCGGTACAGGTAGGAGGCACCTGAGAGGTACTGGTGATCAGAGCCTGGGGTCAGGAAGCTCATGGGGCCCAGGGACACACCACAGCCTGTGCTGGGGTGCAGAGGGGTGGGGGACCCCACAGGGTGTGTGCCACGGCTCCCCTGGTGACCTTGGGCTGGCAGCCAGGGCCAGGGGTCCGACACCTCTGCAATCAGAAAAACAGGCGCCCGACTCCAGGCCTGGGGCAGGGAGGGGGAGGAACACAGCCCCGTGCGATGTGCGGCCAGCGCCCCATGAAGTCCACCCCTGGGACAGAGCTGTGGATCCCCACAGTGGGGCTCTGGCGCTCTCACTCAGGAAAGAGACTGAGAAGCTCGTGTGGGGTTTCCTACAGTGGCCTCGGCCGGAGGAAGGGCAGCGGAGAGGTCAGAGGTAGACGCTGGAGGGTCGTTACAAGGCTCCTAATGAGATGCGTGTGTGCACATCTGTCGGGGTGTGCATGCTTGTGTGTTTCTGTGTGTGCACATGCGTGTGCCCCACAGCTCCAGGGGTGAAGGGCGGGGACGCATACGTACAGGCGTTGGGGGAGCCGTGGGGCAGCGGCAGGTAGGAGCCGGCGCGCCACGCGCGTGTGCGGAAGTTCCTCTTGCACTTGCCACAGTCCGGGCCGGTGGTGTTGTGCTCGCACTCGCACTGCAGGCTGCCTTCGCGCACCGAGCACAGGCTGGCGTGCAGGTTGCACTTGCACCTGGGGAGACCGCAGAAGGCAGAGAGGTCACGGTGCTGCTGGGCGCAGGCCCTGCGTGTGCGGCTCCTGGTCCCTCTCCGTGTCAGATTCACGGTGGAGGCCGCCCTGGGCCCCTGCAGCAGGTCCTTTCCCCGCTTGGATGGCCGTTTTGGGGATGTGTTAGTCAGTTTTCCTTCACTGTGACAAAGCCTGGTAAAATCAGCCTAAAGGAGAGATTTATTCAGCTCACAGTTTCAGATGGTTCAGCCCGTGGTCGGCTGTCTCCAGGACAGGAACATGGTGGTGGTAGGGCCTGGTGGAGGAAGCCAGCTCACCTCACGGCAGCCGGGAAGCACAGAGGACAGAGAGAGAGCGAGCCTGAGTCAGGGAGGGGCTGGGACCAGATACAGTCCCCAAGGTCACGTCCGCGTGACGCACTTCTCCAGGAGGGCCTCCTACTGTTCTGGGCACTCCCGGTAATGTCACCGGATGTGACCACCAGTGGGTTAACCCTTTGAAGTTAGAGCCCATGTGGTCCCATCAGCTTTCAAAAGTGCCACCTCTGCGGCACTGGGGACACGTGTGAGTCCTTGGGGAACACTTCGTATTTAAACCATAAAGAAGTAGGGTTTCCTGCATGTTGGGTGGGGTGGGGTGATGGGGGTCCTTGGTCCAGACTGATTGATTGATTGATTGCTCTCTCTTTCTTAATTTCTCCCTCTCCCTCTCCCTCTCCCTTTCCCTCTGTTTTTCAACAGGGAGGGCCTTAGTAAACAGCCTGAGTTGGTCTGGAACTCATGGCAATCTTCCTGCCTCAGCCTCCTGAGTGCTGGGATCACAGGCGCATGTCACCAGCAAGATGCTGTATTTCTAGCAGCATGGCTTTTAATCGCCTCAGTTTTGTTTTGGGTTCTGTTTTTGGTACTGGGGATTGAACCCAGTGCCTTTATCCTGAGTTATATCCCCAGCCCTTTTTATTTCGTATTTTGAGACAGGATCTCACTAAGTGGCTAAGTTTCCCACCCTGGGCTAATACTTGCCAACCTCCTGCCTCAGCCTCCGGAGTGCCGGGATCACAGGCACACCCAGCTTCACCTCTGCTCCGACAGGCAGGTGGACAGGCAGCAAGGGCTACTCGCAGCCCTCCTTGTGCAGAGGGGGACCTGGCCACCCTGTGCTGCCAGCGAGGGGCCCACACGACACCTTCCAGGGAGACAGAAAGAACCCCCAGCTCCCGGGCCCAGCCAGTTCATCCACACACACGCATTATTCATGTGTTCATTCAAATATTCATAGGCAGCTCATTACTCTGAAAACTGGTAAATAAGAGGAAAGAGGCCGGCATTGATCCTGCCTGTCCTACATAAGCTGTACCTCAGGGTAACCAAAAGTCGACAAGGGGAAGTTTCTTTTTATGGAAACATTTCACGGTGGCATCTGCAGCCCCTCTGAATGAAGCGCCCAGGCTTGACCGCAGCGGACCAAACATCACACACAGGGATGGCCTGAGTGTGAGCTTCCTGCAGGGTTCTCCGCTCCCTGCAGCCCACGGCCTCGACAAACGAACAGGAAAACGGCCCAGCACGACAGGAAACTCAAGAGGACAGAATAACATGCCCAGAGTCACCAGGGGGATGCGGCTGGCTCCGTCCCAGCTGCAGCGAGTGCAGGAACAGGCTCCCGGGTTTTCAACAGATGAACCGCAGCAGGTACGAACCTATTGGAGGGAGGGGACCCAGATCAAGAGACCCCCCCAAGGCAGGGCTGCCCACGGCACGCGTGCACCCGGCTGGATCACGGACGGCCCCGAGCCATCAAGCAAGCGGAAAGTACATGAAGGGCACACTCAGAAATCTGAGCACCGTGTTTGGCGAGATGAAATTAACGTTTGCGAGGTGTGACGACGGGAGATGGTTCTGCTTCTTAAAGCCGTTGCCTTGTACTGAAAGCGAAACGATGTGGAGACAGATTTGCTTCCAGCACAGAAGAGGGGCACAGGGGTGGAGGCAGGGACGAGATGGGAGGGGCAGGGGGTGCCGCGATCCACGCGCCCACCTGTAGGGTGTGTGTTGGGAATTCTCCAGGACACGAAGCTGAAGACAGAGCGGGCTCTAGGCTATGGGAAGATTTCCGAGGTACACTGTCAACATCTGGAGGAAGCAAATTGAAGACTGCTATGTTTATTAGAATCTTATTTTCATTAAAATATGCAAAGAGAAGGTTATGCAGGGCGCCCACTAGGTGGCAGGTGCCGGGCTGGGAGCAGTGAGCAGACGGTCCTTGCCGGGATGGGGCACTGGGCCTCACCAGGTGACAGAAATCAGTGATGGGATGACAGGGAGGAAGGACAAAAAGACGGCACTCAGAGGCTCACGGCAGGGAAATATTCCGGGAGACTCTGCTGTGGAGACAGCTGGATTCTGTGTGCCCAGGGCAGCTCCGCGCGCACGGCAGACTTTGAAAAATAACTGAATCTGTGTGGCTTCCTCACCGTAACCTATGCACCCCAGGAATGCAGGCGAGACGTCCACAGTGGGGGCCGCTGTGCGGGGGAAGGGGTCCTGATCCACCCGTGGGGTGCAGGGTCCATTTCCAGGAAGGACGGTGCCCAGACAACAACCCATCAGAAGGAAGGGAGAGAATGGTTTCCTGTGAGCCACGCTCCGGTGAGCAGGACCTTGTCCTGCAGGCCTGGTCCGAGGGAGAAGGCGCTGCGACCACTCCCATGGGCAGAGCACAAAGGTCTGCTGCGAATCAGCAACTTCGGGTGCAAGGCTGGTAGGGGCATCACAGGCTGGGCTTCGGGAAAGCGGGGGAATTCTGAGCAGTGGACCGAGACGGAATCTTACTGTCCTTTTCTTATTCTGGGGTGCTGGGGATGGAACCCAGAGCCTCAAGCACGCTAGGCAAGTGCTCACGGCTCCATCGCCTCTTCACAATTCTTCACGGGCAGACTGGTCAAGCTGGGGTCTGTTTGTCGAGGTGTGTGGGCAGCTAAGCTCGACATACGTCCCAGAGAGCTCCCTAGTCATCATGATAATGTCAGAGTGGGCTACAAAAGTCAGGGGCAAGGCCTTGTCTTTTTAAGGCCCACAGAGGCCTGACCCCCAAGCCTCGGGATGTTTGTCTTTTCATGTCCTTGTGAGAAGTAATCGTCCACCTGCTACTTGGCTTTTAGAGTTCCATTGTAATGCAGTCTCCTCTTCAGAAAGGCTTAGCTTTACAATATTAGCTAAACATTTAGTTCAGTCTTAAACGAAAACCTGAAGGAGGCTGGAGAGTCACCAGACCACAGGGAGAACCTTCTAGAAACAGCAAGAGCATGAGGAGAGACCCCGACAGGAGAGGAGCCTGGGAGTGAGGCAGGCACCTGACCAGGGCACCCAGGCTGGGTTTTATCTGTCAGGGACTCAGAGCCCTGGCAGAAGGGTGGGCGTGTCCCACGCAGCTCGAGTCGTCTGCACCGTGGCTGCACCACGGAGACTGGCTTGACCGGGGACAAGAGCCGGGGAGCAGAGGGACGGGACGGGTGAGGCCCCCGACCCCAGCATCGCAGTGACTGCTTTCGGGGAGGGGTGTAAAGCGCTTGCCCGGCGTAGGTGACGCCCTGGGTTCCATCCCCGCCACAGCAAGAAAGAGGTTGTTTCCTGAATACTCAGGCAGCCACAGGGTTATGGGACGCAGCCCCTCCGGGAGCACGGACACCCAGAGGAGGACGCCAAGGTCACATGGTCAGAGACGATTCCAAGCCACAGAAATGATCCAGATAAGGAAGTCCGTGATCAAGCATGACTCTCATTGCCGTCTCCTCTTTGTCACCCGCTGCGCTTCCTGCTTTTTCTGTGGTGAGCCGGCATGGCTTCTGGAAGCGTACAAAAGGATTTTTAGGCCAGGGACTCTCCTCTAGAGGATCCCACGAGGGTGATCATGTCATTGGACGTGAGTCCAGTCCTTAACCCTTTTTTCTAAGAGCACGACGGGAGCCCGAGGTGTGGGGTAAGTGCTGTTCCCACGCGCAGGCCTGTCCTCCCGCAGGGACGTTGGGGTCTTCCGGGCTCCAGGCTGTCTGGAAGCCAGTTCTCCGGATGTGGATTCCAGCAGCGTTGGCGGCACTGAGGTCTGCTCAGATGGAGAATCCCGAATGCGAAAAGCCAAAGATTTGAATGCTCCCAAATCCGGAATGTGGAAGGCAGAAGTGAGGCCGCAGTGAGCAGGACCCTCCCGTCTCACCTCACGGGACAGGCACGGGCACAGTGAAACGTAAGTGGATTTAATGTTTAGAGTCGGCTCCTTTCCCCAAGGTGAGAGGTGTGATCGAAACAGATGGTGAATGTTTAAATTCAAAGAAACGTACGGGAAGACACTGCCACGAATCCCCTCAAACTCGTCCGCTCACATTTCAAACACGCATCTCATCCTTCTTGCCGCTTTTCTAGAGCAGCTCGGGAGCCCTCTTTCTTGAGTTTCTGTACAAGTTGTGGTACAAAAAATCCCGGGAATGCCGCCACTGAACGCCACCCGGCGGGAAGGCAGGGCCGTAGAAACATCACACTGTGTCCCTGTCCACTTCATCCGCCCCATCCGGCACTGAGTGACTTGTGGCTCCTCCCCAAAGTCAGAATGACCACGACAGGGCCAAGCTCTGCATCAACTGAGGACACGGAGGCAGCCAGGCTGGCGCAGCTGAAGACTTTCAGGAGAGAGGACTCCAGACCTGCTGCAGGAAGCGGCCGGGACGGTGGGAGCAGTGTGCTCAAAACATCGGGGTGGGGGTACATTGAGGGGAAAACACTGGTCCTGACGATGTGTCTTTTACTGCAACAAACTTTTAAAAATCTTAAACATTCACCTTAGTTTTCTTTATACCTCATATTTGCAAATACTCAAAAATCTGAAAAAATAAAATTTCCCAAACACTTCTGAAGCCAAGCGTTTCAGATAAGGGATGCTCGAGATCATGAAATCTTTTTCCCCGTCCAGCCGGGACCTGGTGCTGTCTAACTGCCCACCCGCGAGGGTGT